CGCACACGTGCATAGACGTTCAGGTCCTGGCATCTATCACCCATGGCTGCAGAGAACCACGCTGATCTTGGTGACATGAAGCAAGACCAGGCCACTGTGCTCATGGATTCTGAGGGCTCAGAATTCATTCTCTCTCTTCTCTCACATGGTGGCCTCAGGACCCCGGAGTACTTGAGCTTCTTCGGTGGCAGCTCAGGACCAGGTGTTCTGTGAGGAAGACAGAAGCTGTGTGGCCTTTATGAGCTCGTCTTGGAAATCTCAAGGAGTCACCTCCATCACAGTGACTTGGTCCAAGCAGTCCCAGGGCCACACATATTCAAGGACTGGGAGACATAGAGCCCGTTTTGTTTTTTCCCCCTTCCTCTAGGGGTGAGGAGGCACCTCAGAGAACCTGGAGGTGCTTTACCACATCCCCAGCACCCCCAGCTCCTTTTATTTTTCACTTTGAGACAGGGTCTCGCTAAGATGCTGAGGCTGGCCTTGAACTTGAAATCCTCTGGCCTCAGCCTCCCGAGCTGCTGAGACTACAGCCACCATACTGACTAGATCCCATCTCTTGATTAGAGGAACATGAAAGAATTTGCCACCATATTTTAAAATGGTCACACACGTGCCCAGAGAAGAATGCTTGCATATACATATACACACGCTGAGCTATGCGCAGCACGCACACACACATGTAAGCACACACGCACCTTTTCTGAGAGCAGACGCGCACATAGATGTACACATGAACGGGCATGTGATGCAGACACAGCCACCCAAGTGTGCCTACAGTCACCTGAGTGCACACACATGCGCCCACTCCAGGGCCTGCAGCTACACCTGCTTGCTACTGACCGCAGGCCCCAGATGTAGCTAAGCTGGGAACCAGGATGGGCTGAGTGGTTGCTAGTATGGGGTGGGCCTTCCTCCCCACTACCCTTCCCTTGGCAGGGGCCTGGCAAGAGGAAAACAAATAACCTTGCGGTGTTTAAATAAGCAAAGTTTTGTGCAAAGCAGAGGTTAATGTACTTTATTGTTCAATGTCATGTTTATAGTGGATTGGTGGAGGGAAAAATGTGATTAATTGCCCTGAAGCCCACGGATCTACAATTATTTGGTTGTTGTGAACAAATAAAGGACTACAGTATTCATCATATTCAAATGAGGCAGCAGAATAAATGATGGCGGGCCGGGTAGGAACAAAACCGAGGCGTGTTCCCGCACAATCGGAAGGCGACTGGCGCCTTGTCAACCAGACGCAGGGTGGTGGCGGGAGCCGAACCCGTTTGTCTCTGTACCACCAGTGAGGGCCAGGCTGACCCTGCAGGTGCCGTCCGTTAATTCCTGTCACCCCCCGCGCCTCCGGTCTGCAGGGTCTGGAAACCAGGCGCCAATTTCGTAATAAAGACTTGTTTGCGCCGAGGCCGGTTTGGGGCGGGGGCACAGATCTTCATTAGAGCCCCTTTCCCGGGCCACGCTCGTTACAGAGCACAGGTACTGGCTAAATGTGTCCGATCATTCATCATGATTTCGCCCTCCACTTTGTCACAGCGTGGGGATTTAAGGAAGATAGATGGTACAAGATGTTGTCTCCTCCGCAGACGCTTTCTGCTCTGGTAAGTGTGTCCGATGCAGAATTATTTTGCCACTTTATTATTTCCTAGTGAGTGTTTGTCAGAGCTTCGCCTCTTGGAAGGAGCGAGTTGTTTCCTGTCACTCAGGGATGTCGCGGGAGCCGTGATGCTTGGCCGGGCTCACCAGCCAGCTGGAACCCGGGCTGGGTCCCCAGGCAGGGCTGCGGGGGTCCTGGGAGTCTGGGCCACAGGGTGAATGTCAAATCCAACAGAGCCAGGGGGAGGTGGGGCACGGGGCCTGCAGGCCCTGAGCGGGAGGGGGATGTGTCCAGACCTGGCCTGGCTGTAGGCCAGGCTGCTGGACGGGGAGCTGTGCGAATTCCTGTCCAAAGGGCTGCAAGAGCTTGGCCTTGCCTTGAGCCAGCTGGAGAGGGAGCGGGCAAGGCTGAGGCCCTGCCGGGCTGCTGATGGCCTCGGGGCAGCGTGGCCGATTCTGGTGCCCATTGCTGATACCAGATGGGCTCCTGATCTGACCAAGGTAGCAGAAAGGCCGAGTTGTGGCCAGTGGGGATCCCAGTTGGGTGAAGTTTACATGAGGCTAAAGATGGGGGATGAGTCCAATTTTCAGCCCAAAGCCCAGCCCAGAGCGCTGTCAGCTCCTGGAACCCTTGGAAACGAGGTTCTCCGAGGCCGTGCTGGAACACAAAGGTGCGGCTGCGGCATCTGAAGGGGAATCTGGTTCCAGAGAGCAGGTGGATATCTGAGTCCCCCTTGTCACTGGGTCAGTGTTGTTCCCCTCCCGCTGCCCACTGTCTCCCCAGATGTGGGGTACTGCCGGACCGTGCACACCCTTTGGGGTCAGAGCAGCCGCACTCAGAGCTCCGACCAGCTGTAGTCTTGTTGAGCCTTAGTTCCTCTATCTGCAAAATGGGGTTGCCAGGACTCTCTCTTCACCTGTCACAGTGTTCCCTCCATTCAGGTCTCACCTCCTGGCCTCCTTTCTCTCTGATTCCTGGCTTCTAGAAAGTTCCACGCTGCTGACCTGGTTCCCACAGGCCTCGTGGGCCCTGTCCCCAGATGTCTCTGGCCCTGGGCTTTCTTGCTGGCATCCAGACGGGATCTGCAGGTGAGACAGCTGCTTGAGAGGGTGGCTGCTTATCTACCCATCTCCTCTATGTCCCTTAGTGGACAGCCTCATGGGGAATCCATTTCCAGCCCCCAACTTCCACGTCTTCTGAGTCCTCTTCCAGCCAGGCTCAGCTGAGCCCTAGTCACGGTTCCTGTCCTTAAGGAGCCCCCAGTCTGGTGGGGCAGGCAGGTCATTACTCCAACACTGTGCCCCACCAGGGGCCCCTGCAGGTCCCGTTCCCAGGTCAGTCTTCAATGATCCCCTGTATAAGGCCACCCCGGGGCCGTGCTGTCCACCCTCCCCGGGAGGGAGGTGCTGCTCTCACACCCATCTCACAGCCAAGAGAACTGAGGCTTGGCAGCCGGATACTGTGCTGAAGGAACTGTAGTGGTCACTAGGCAGGGACTTGGGGGTCCTGAGGTCCAACCTGGCGTTTGCAGACCCAGGAAGGGAGAGTGGGTGGGCTCATTAGTGGAGTAGCCACGGCCCATGTCCCCCGTGTCCTCCCAGGTCAGCCCCATTTGACTCAGGTTTTATTTTTCTTTGGCTCCGCCCACTCGCGGAGGTGTCTCAAGTTCTGGGCCTTGCACTTCTGGCCAGACTTCTGGTCACCATCCAGGTAGAAAACCCCAGTCTCTGATTCCACACGGTTTTATGTCTAAGTCACACGGCACCTGTGTCCCCCGGTGTGTGGGCGTGTTTTCTTCTGCAGCAGGGCTTGGCGCGTCCCCTCATTCCTGTGTGCGTTCAGCAAACTCTAAGCACACGCTGGTTATGTGTTAGCTTTGCGCAGCGAGATCAAACCCGGCAGGTGGAGAGAACATGGAGCCACCCACAAGGTACCAAATGTGACAGTGGATCTCAGCTGGTCCCTGGAGGGATGGGACGGCCACTAGTCACCACCTAGAGGCCCTCCTGCGAGGAGCAGCAACAAGGCCCTTCCTTCACCCCCAAGCACTGCCCTGAGTGGGGTCACACCCCTTCTCCCCAGGACTGTGGACGCAGCCTCCTCATCACCTGCAGACCTGCCGCCTCCCCTTCCCTTTCTATCCTGCAGCCAGAGTGATTTCCAGTGAACGGAAACCCAATGAGGACGCTCTGCTTCAGAAGCTCAGTGGCTCCCCTGGCCCATGTACTTTCAACCCTCCACCGTGAACTTGGCATTCAAGGCCTTTCATGACCAAGCACCAACCTACCCAGTGCTGCCGCTCACGGGCAGCATGATCTCAGCCTCTCTCTTGTTTCTCCACTTGCAGTTCCTCATCTGTGAAGTGGGCATGGTCACAGCACCTACTATGACAATCTGCATGTCCCAAAGACATCAGCCACAGATCATATCCCATCCTGCACGCTCTCCTCACTGACATCCTCCCCTGGGACGGTGGGGACGGCGTTTCTTCCTCTGGAACTGGGGTGGACTTTGGTCGCTGCCCTGACAGTTCGAGTCTTAAGGTGAGGTTACCCGTCTGCCATGGGCTTTAGCCTGGCTCTCTTGGACGCCCAGCCCTGGAGTCCAGCAGCCATCTGGGCAGAGGCCAGGCAGCCACGTGGAGAGGATATCACAGGTGTTCTGCCCACCACCAAAGTGAGCCATCCTGAAAGCCCTCTACTCCAGTGGACACTGGGTGAGGAAATGAGTGGACTCCGCCAAGTCCTAGAGTGGACTACAGCAGGAGTGAGCCACTAAATTTGGGGGCAGGTTGTTACTCAGCAAGAGATGACTGAAACATCCTGTCGGGTCACTGTGGGGGAAAGTAAATATCTCCATTTGCTAGGACGGCCCGCACAAAGTTCCACACACTGAGCGGCTTGGACAACAGAAACGAATGTCCCCTTTATCCTGGAGGCTGAAGGTCTAGATCAAGATGGCAGGTCTGATCTCTTCTGAGACCTCTTTCCCTGGCTCCCCATCTCTACTGCTGGGGTCCTACCCCTCTTGTCTGGGGCTCTGTTTGGCAATTGTTCTAATCTGTATGGCAGAAGCTCCAGCTTTTCTGAGCCGAGCCTCTGACTTGTTTTGCCATCTAGAAATAGGGATTTTCTTTTTCTGACTGTAAAAAAATAATTTGTGTTTAGTTTACAAAATGCAGATAGTATGGAAAGGTTTGAAGAAGAGAGCAACAATCACCTAAAATGAATGACTTGAACCTTCTGGTTTATTTCTGAGTTTCTTCGTGTGTGTGTGTGTGTGTGTGTGTGTGTGTGTGTGTTCCTTGATTCTAGGACAAAACTGATTATTGGAGGCATCATTGATTTAATTACACAGCTCTTAGGGGGAAAGGAACTGCTGCACTGAACATATATATTAGCTGGAAAACACATCCTGATTTCAGAAATGTTAAAATGGGAAAAATATGTACAGCTAAGAATTGAGAAAATATGTCACGCACAAACATCAGCGTTTTTTTAAAGATGAGAATCTCAGTGAATAGGTGGGAGATTTGTTCTCTATTGTTTGTTTTGTAAGAGTCAAGGTCTTGCTATATTGCCCAGGCTGCCCTTGAACTCCTGGGCTAAATAATCTTCCTCCTTCAGCTTCCTGAATAGCTGGAACTACAGGCACCTGCAACTGTATCCAGCTCATAAATACTGTTTTATGGTCTATTTTTAAAAAAATATGAATAACAAAGCTTAGAGATCTTTCTATATCAATAAATGAATACTCTCCCCATCAATTTTAATGGCTGCATAGTATTCCATGAAATGATAGAGTGCATTGATTCCTCACTGAAGGGCACACATTTTTATCATCACTCTGATTCAAACGTATTTATAGATCCTGGTCTTTCTTTTCCTCAAGATGAGTTCCTTCACTCAGCTGCTAGATGGGCAAGTTGAGCTGTTTGGGGTTGGCTGCAGGTGCTCAGGTGCTCATCCAGGATAGCAGCTGTGGCTAGGGCACCCATGGGTGCTCCCACCTAGGTCCGGTCCTGTCGCTGAGCTTGGTGCACCATGGGGCTCTGGCAACGGCTGATGGGCATCAATCTCTGAGAGCAAACCAGAAGACAGATCCTGCATGTTCTCTGTGCCTGCAACTGGGCTTCATGGTTAGCTCAACTTCCTACACATAAGATTTAAAAATAAGAAACGTAACTTTGGGGGTCAGCTGTTTATTGGAGGCATCATTGATTTAATTAAGTCTCAAGTCCCAGTGCCGCTACTCGGTATGTGACTTGGCCACCCTGAGCCTCAGTGTCTGCACAGATATGCCATGATATGTCCCTGGTGTTCCTGAGAACAGGAGTCCTAGGCAAGACCCCACCCCTCCGGGGGTGCCCCAGAGAGCGAGAACACCTCTGCCTCCGTGGGCTCTGGGCTCGGGCAGAGCTTGGTCTGGAGTGGCCCAGGCCACGGGGAGCCCATGGTGGCAAGTGAGGGAGGGGCCCCTGGGCTCTCTAATGACAAGATGAGAGGCACAGCTGCCCCTGGCCAAGGGCCCAAGCATCTACCTGGGGCTTCAGGTCCTGCCTGGGAGAGTGCCCTGGTTCCCTGTCTTCTCTCATATACTTTGCCTTGAGCCCACTGGCCTTCCGTTGATGTCCATGGCTTGGGAGCGCTGTCCTGTCCAGGGCCCTTACACAGCTCTTCCTGCCTTCCTTGGCCACTAATCACTACTCCTCCTTCCTGGAGTTGCCTTCTCCAGGAAGCCTGGGTGATGCTCCTCTCCCCAGGTTAAGTCCCTCTGCCCTCTAAGGTGACATGACACTCATCATCCTCACAGTGAGATGCTGATAGTTAGCCATTGGGTTACACTAAGGGCAATCCATGGTTGACCTCCTACCTGTCCATGGTGCTCTCTCTTCAGCCGTGGGACCCCGGACTTGATGGTGGGGCTCACCACTGTATCACCCCTCTCTGCACCAAACACAGACAAGAGCTCAGGAAACACTGGTGGACGAATAACAAGAGTGCAGGAGGGGATGGAACCCCGGTCTCTGTCAGAGCTTAAGCAACTTAGCACCAACTAACATGAACTGCATGGGAGCCGCCTGGCACCCACCACTGACAGCAGAGACAGGGGCCAACGGGGCCAGCCAGCGCCCTCCTGCGTGGACAGCACCGGCCCACAGTAGCTGATTCTCCAGAACTGTGTCCAGTTTCACTTTGAATGCCCAAACTGCCCCTGGCTTCTCTAGATTGAGAGGTCTGGGATTTGGAGAGAGACCTGGATGATGTCGTCCCTCTCCATTCGCCTGGCGGTCCAACCTTGTGGCTGGCGGTGTGTGCAACCTTGTGGCACTGTGCCCCTGCCGCCACACGGTGGCAGTGTTGGCACCAACTGGGCTCGAGGAGCTGAAGGAAACCTCAGCCTGCTCCAGAGACGCCTTCAGAGGCCGCGCTGCTGAATGTGCACGCGGCTGCGCACACCCTGTGCACAAAAGGGCGCGAGTGCAGGACGCGCTGCGAGCGTGTCAGCTCTTGTAGGCGCTTATGTGTGTTGGAGGGATAACTGGAGGGGTCCGCGGGTGCGTGGTACGTGTGCTTGGTTTTGCGTGCGTGGGTGTGTGGTGCCCTGCACGCGCCTGCTTCCCAGCGTGCCTTTGTGTCTTCGTCTGCCTGTGTGTGATTGTCTGTGTGAGTGAGGCTCTGCGTCCGAGAGAATGCCTTGTGTGCAAAAGTGGCTTTGTACCCTGGTTTGTGCACACAGTGTGCGTGGTGTTAGCAAGTGTGTTTCTGATCCCGCCTCTGGGTGCCTTGAGGGTGTGTGTGTGTGTGTGTGTGTGTGTGTGTTTATAAACCAAGGTCAGGGGCTCCTGGGGCCCTGCCTCCCCCTGCCCTCTCTGGCCCTCACCTGCATGGATGAGGATTCTGGTTCCTGCCCCTGGTCTTGCTTTGTCCCTCCTCGGGCCCTTGTGCCTTTCCCTGGGGCCTCCTCCACCAGCCACCAGCCCCCCCAGCTCCAGCTCTCTCACCAGGTGGACCTGCAGGGCTGGCGGTGTGTGCAGGCTGGGGACCACCTCTGACCCCGCGGCCCTGCTGTAGCTACACCCCTCCCCTGCTCCATGCCTCTGGAAGCCTCCGCCTGCCTGCAGCAGGGTGGGACCGAGTCCTGCCATAGCTCCACTCCACCCTCATCTCCAGGGCTCTGGGGGCTGGGGGTCCAGACAGAGCAGACGCCAGCGCGCGGTCTAGTCGCCCATCCTCAGACTGGAGGCACCAGAGATGGGGCTCAGCCGCTGCCCTCCGACCTCGGGGTGGAACCTGTCTGGGAGTCTACTGCCCAGCCCTGGAGAGAACGGGGAGGCCCTGGCGCCTCCTCCAGGGCCCATCTCCTGCCGGTGCAGGCGTTCCACAGCCCAGGTGCCAGCTCCCTTCCAGCCCACCCCTCCCCCTGCCAGGCGAGCGCCCAGAGTGCCATGTCTGGCCACGTCTGCCACCCTTCCCCCGCGTGGTTATTAATAATTGGGCATTAGGCAAGAGGCGACTATCGATTCTGGTGCAGGCAGCTCCAGGTCGGGGTAATTTATGGAAACACTGGCGTCCCTGGCGATAAATAATGAGGTGATCGCAGAGATGGGTCACTAGTGAGTGGCCTCCATCCTGCTTCCCTGTCCACTAGCACACCAGCTCGTAAACGGAGGGAGAGAGGGAGAGCCCGGCTGGCCTGAGAAGACAAAGACGCTGGTGAGCACAGGCACAGCAGGACAGGGAGCAGAGTCGGGGCTCCGAAGGGCCAGGGGGTGGGCAAGGACAGGACGCAGAGCAAGAGACAGGGCAGAGGAGGGAGGAGACTGACGGGGAGGCACCGGGCGAGACGGGGCTGAGAGTTGGGGGAGAGCCACCAAGACGCGAGGAAGGGGAGGGACAGGGCCGGGCGGGGCGGGGCCAGCGGGGCGGAGCTCAGCGATGCAGGCCCCCAGCGCGGGCCCACTGCGTGCCGCCTCTGCTGGGTTCTTACCGTATTCACTCGTTTTGTCTCATGCCAGCCCCAAAGGAATCACTCCGAGCCAGCACAGATGCCGAGCCGCCTGTGGGCCAACTCCCAGCTCCACCCCAGGCCCAGCGCAGGGCCTCGGACCAGTCACTCCCCTCCTGGCACCCCAGTGCCCTCGTCTGTCCAGTTGTGAGGGTCAAACGGGTCAAGGTCATGCACTCAGGGACCAAAACCCTTGGGTGAGGCGTGAGGTGTGGCACTGTTTGCTTCTGGCTCCAGCTGATGGGGTGCAGTGGCAGTTGGTGTGAGTCTCTTCTCTTTGTCAGGGTGTCCAGAGAAAATGAGATGACAGTGGGCCAGGTGGCTCTGGGGAGACACCCTGCAAGAGGTAAGGTGGGTGTGGGCGTGGAGGTGCCACTAAGGGAAAAGACACAGATGGTGGAAGAGCTCGGGCACAACCTCACAGCATTTCAGGACAGGCAGGTTCTGGAAGGCCTAGTGTTCCGCCAGCGCCCAGATTGCCTCCCTTGGTAATATTTCCCCCAAAGTCACCCAGCTTTAGCTTGGGTACCTCCAGGGACGGGGAACTCACTACCACTCTTGAGGAACTCTAACTCTGAGAAGATTCTCCCTCAAAATCTGCCTCCCTGCACAGCCTCAGTAGCTCCAGATTGTCCCTTCCACACCCCTCCATCCCTTTTTGCCTCCACCAGCCGTCCCGATTCATCCTGCAGGGGGTACAGTCAGCACCAGGGAGCTCTTCACAGCCCCCACTCTCAGCTGCCCCCAGACCTGCTCCAAGGCTGGCCAACCTGTCCCCTCCTGGGCCAGGTGCTCCCTGGGGCAGGTCCAACAGCCTCCTTCTCAGGAGCAGAGCCAGGTGTGGACGGTGCCCGTGCCCGAGATCCAGTGTCCAGCACTGTCTGGAGCCCTGTGTAGAGCAGGGTAGAGCAGTGGGCACGGACTTGTTGCCCACTGACCACCTGACTGCACAGGTCCTTTGACCTCCAGTGCCACAGAGCCTGTTGTGTAAGGTAGATAGCACCACAGGAGCAGCCCCTTGCGTGGTTCCTGTCTGGTTACAATCCCCCTCCTCCTCCTCCTCCTCCTCCCAGGCGGGCTGGGTAGCCTGGGACCCTCTCCATGTTTGGGACCCAACTTTAAGAGCTCACATGGATCCCTGCACACCGTGCCTCGACATGACTGTCACTGTCACTCTTTGTCCTTGTTATGGAGCTTACATAGCCGTCTTCCCCTGCTCTGGGGAGCCTTCAAAGGTACCTTGACCTTCTTGCACCAGGGAGTGAGGGCACAGCTGGGCAGGGTGAGCCCCCGACACTCTGCCTAAGGCCCCACAGGTGGGCAGAGGCTGCTGTTGTGGTAGGGGCTGGCTTGTCTCTTGGTCCATCCACATTTCCCCTTCGTATCTAAGTCTGTTCCAGAGAGTCTGTCATCCACCTTCTAGGAACCTAGATGCCTCTGTCAACTCCCTTCTCTGCCCTGCTGGACTGTCACCCTGCTGGACTGTCACCCTGCACTAAGGCCAGTCTGGTGCAAGTCTTAGCAAACCCCTTTCCTTCCTGGGCTTATCTCTTCCTCGTCTTAGAGGCTCTGAGGTCATCCCTGATCTTCCGTCCTAGAGTCTTAATTGAGATCCTGAACCTCAGACAGTACCCTGTTCCCGATAGTAGCAGCGAATTTATATACACTTGTTTTCCCACTTCATAGCTACTCCAGGAACATGGGTGGGGATGGAGGACAGGGCCAGCATGTGTGTGCTGGGTGGGGGAGGGGCAAAGGGGCTTCTGTGGAGCAGGGAGAGTCAGTACTGGCTGGTGGGGTGGGGAGAGCACTGAACCCTGGGTAGTGAGCCAGGTTTTACTTTGTGGCCAGTGGTCACAGAGGTCTCCTGATGTAGACCTGAGTGGTTGGTGACACTCCATAGGTTTGGGGGGATGGGTTTGGGGGGACAGAAAGCAGGAAGACTTGTGAGGGGTCTGGGGAAAGCCCATGAGGGGAGAGTGCAGAGGGAGGGGGGAGGGCGGCTGAAGGTCAGGCATGAGAGGCAGGACTGGAGGGCTGAACTCACTGGATGGGGCCAGGAGTGGGAGACAGAGAAGCCACACTGGATGGTCAGCTTGGGACCCCATGAACAGAGGGGAAGCAGCTATTCCTTGAGGAGAGAGAGCCCCGGGGCTGAGAGTAATGGCCTGGAGGGACCTGGGGATTTGCCATCCTGGGAGGGGTCAGGTCCCAGAGAGCCTGGAGATGAGGCTGACCTCAGGAGAGCAGTCTAGGCTAGAGAGTTGGGGTCGGCAGGGCCTGGGGGTCAGAGCAGCTGGAGAGGACACAGAGGCCCCGGCCTCTCTGCAGCGCCCTCCGGGTGCTGCCTGCACCCCCACCTGGAGATTGAGGCCGCGGTGGGCATATCCTCCACTGGCTGAGGAAGGCTGGGAGCTCCTCAGGCAGAGACCCCTGTCTACACACAGCCCAGAGCCCTGGTGCTCAGCACAGCAGCTGGGCCAGTCAGCCTCAGTCCCTTGGGAGGCCAGGAGGATGCAGGCTGGAACTGAGGAGGTCTCCGTGGGGATCTGGAGAGGTGCCCCGGCTGCCTACCCCTGTGAATGGGATGGAGACTTCTGGCATCTGGGGGAAGGGGACACCCTGAAGGCTGTGGCTTGGGGTGTGGGAGGGCAAAGACACTGCTTCCACACCTGCTTGTATCTTTATCTCAGATTGTTCCCTTAAGAAACGGCAAGGTAGAGATAGCTCTGCTTTGGCAGCTGGGGGTGGGGCATGGCCTTACCCAGAGGAGAAAAGCAAGCTCCCAGTTGGGCCCTGACTGGGACTTGGGCTATCCTATAGTCCACTGCCCCTCCTGCTTGGAGAGGAGCCTTTTGATCGCGGAGGCCACCCCTGGCTTCCCACACAGCAGGATCCTCTCAGAGGCTTGTCTCCCCCCAGACCACCGGCTGCTGCTGGTGGCAGAGGCAGGCTTCATGCCCGGTCTGATGATTGCATGGGCCTCCTCCTGCAGCCCAGTGGTGTGGACCCCCGTCCTGCAGCCCAACGGGGTGGACCCCATCCTGTAGCCCAGCGGTGTGGACCCGGGCCAGGCTTCAACTCCCCCACGGAGGTCTGTCTGAGGGATCAGCTAAACTGACTTCAGAATCAGCTCAGGGGGACCGGGGCCCCTTCCCTGAAGCCTCCGGGGCTGACCGGAGAGCCCTGTCTCCTCCTCCAGGCCCCTCGGCCCTTTTCACCCTGCTGCCACCCAGCTTTGGTCACTCTCGAGGACAACCCAAGGTCTGCCTCCCTCTCCTGGGCCTGAGGGCTCCCTGGGCAGGAAGGGGGTGTGACTCCTCTCTGTTCCTGACACGCAGGGCACAGAGCCCACAGAGGCCTGGTCACCGGGTGTTGAAAGAACGAACAAAGGAACCAGAAGGACAGGCCCGGACTGGCCCCTGGGAAGCGGCGGGGCTGAGCTCCTGCGGCTCCGGGCGCGCCCGCAGGTCCCCAGTCCCGCCCCAGGCGGTGTGCAGCGGCTGGGGAGGGCGGGCAGCGGCATTGTTCCCGACCTCCAACCACAGGGAGAATAAAAGTTTGTGAAATATTAGTTTAATAAGACATGCGACTACTATTAAGGATCCGAGCAGTCCTTATTTATTATTCATGCGGCCGCGTGATTTAGGGGCGAGCGGGTCCGCGGAGGCCTGGCTCGGCCGCGCTCCCACCCGCTAACCCGCCCCGCGCGCGCTCCGACTCCCCCACCGCCGGCCCACACCTGCCGCACTGCGCAGGCGCGTCCTCCGCCCGCGCAGGGGGTCCCTGGTCCTGGAGCCAGAGGCAGGTGCTGCGCTGCGCAGGTGGGGCCCGCTCTGTGGCCAGCCCGGCCTCGGGGTGCCTCTTGGCCTCCATGGTTCGCTTCTGTCCCCCTTCTCTCCGGGTCTTTTTCCCGGTCCCAGGACTCAGAAGACAGGCGAGCTGCAGGTGGTGCAGGTGGACAGATTGGAAATCCCGAGGGGCCTGGGTTCTTCCTGCCAGGACTTGCTGTGTGACCTTAGGCGGGTCCCTTGCCTTCTCTGCCTCCCAGGGACCCTTCCAAAAATAGAGATCAGAGTACACCTTCTGAAAGTTTCTGAGCTTTTTTGGGGGGAGGGGGTGCAGGAGATAAAATTGATACACAACATAATACGTGGATCTTAATTTGATCAGCACACATCTCCATGAAATCACCATCTTAATCAAGACACAGAGTACTCCATCATCACGTGACATTCCTACTTTTATTCTCTGGCGTCAGCTCCCTTGGAGACAACCACTGCTCTGATTTCTTTTGCCATAAATTAGTTTTGCTTGTTCTTGAACTTCGCATCAATAGGCAGCTTGCACTCCTTCGATTTCTATCAGTACTTCCTTCATTGTTCTACTGAGTACCGTTCTATCCTATGATTAGACCATGGTGTGTTGGTCGGTTCACTTTTGAACGATCATTTGGGGTTGCTCCCAGGGTTTGGCTATCATGAATCATAATTGCTTCAGTGAATATTTGCATACAGACTTTTTGGGGTGCTGGGGATCTATCCCAGGGTATAGAGAACAGCACTCTACCACTGCCCTACACCACAGCCTCCATGTTGCTTTATAAAGTAACTTTTAAACCATTTTCCAAAAGGTGATGTTTACACTCACCAGCCAAGTTAAGAGCTTCCTGGTTGCTCCACATCCTTGCCAACACTTAATATTATCAGTTTTCAAAATTTTAACCTTTCTATTGAGTTGGTGGTACTTCCTTGTGATTTTAATTTTCACTTCCTTTTAAACTAAATGATGTTAATTACCTTGTCATATGATTATTGACCATTTTTTGTATTTTCTTCTGTGAAATATGTATTTTGATCATTTTCTATTTGGGTTTCTTTTTCTTGTAAGATATATTTGTATGTTGTGAATATTTTCTCTGAAATTATGGTTTGCCTATGCATTTTCTTAACTGTACCTTTTGATGAGCAATTTTTAACTTTGATGAAGTTCAGTTTATCAACTTTTTACTTTATAGTTTATGCTTTTTGTGTGCTCTCAAATTAACCTTTGCCTACTCGAAGGTCATGCATGTATTTCTCTATATTTTTGTGTAGAAGCTTTATGGTTGAGCTTCATGGTTCATTTTTTAATATTTATTTTTTAGTTGTAGGTGGACACAATATTTTTATTTCATCTTTATGTGGTGCTGAGGATCGAACCCAGACCCTCACACGTGCTAGGCGAGCGCTCTACCACTGAGCCACAACCCCAGTCCTTCACTGTTCATCTTAAATCATTCTTTGTATGTGGTGTGAGGTAGGGGTTCTGTCTTTGTCTCCCTCATGCATTTCTCCAGTTGTTCCAGGGCTGTTTGTTGGAAAGACTTTCCTCCCCACATTGAGTCGCCTTCCTGCCCTGGTACAAGCAAGCAGCCAGCCTGACAGGGTCGATGTGGGTCTGTTTCAGGCTCTGTTTGATTCCTTTACCCATCTGTCTTCCCTTGTGCCAGGCCTCACTGTCTTGATTACTGTAGTTTTGCAGTAAGTTTTAAGATCAGGTACAGTGAATCTTTCAACTTTATTTTTCTTTTTAAAGACTGATTTGGTTATGAGGCCCTTTGCTTCTCTACATCAGTTTTAGAATCAACGTGTCAGTCCTTCCCCGAATCCCAGCCCAGAGAGTGAAGGCTGAGGTGTCCCCAGCCCCACACCCAGCCCAGAGCTGGAGAGAGGGCCCAGGCTGGTTCCGAGCATCGTGGCCTCGCCCACAGGGAGGCTCTGGATGACCCTAAAGCCCCACGTGTCACTGAGATATTCACTATTGAAATACTGTGCCGTGTGGGATCTGCTTCAAAATAGTGAGGGGACAACAAATGGGAATACAAAGGAACAAAACTGGCTGTAAGTTGATTAATTATTAAAGCCGGGTGGTGGGTACGGAGGATTCATTATATTACTCTCTCTACTTTGGAATGTTTGCGATTTTTTTATGATAAAAATTTTAGCTACACCCTTTGCGGTGAGGCAGTGCCCTCCCCCCAGCCATTATGACTCCCTGGCCAGGGCCTGGCCCCTGCTGCTCTCTGGCTAATGACAACCTCTTTGCCATCTGCAGCGTCCCCAGTGGCTGCTCTGTTCCCCGTGCCCCGTGCACTGCAGAGCAGACGCTGACCCCGTGGGAGCATGACCTGGCTGTGCGGTTGGCCGAGTCCAGGCCGCTCCGACGTGGTGTCGGCAGGTGGGTTTTTACATCACCTCAAATGGTTTTTAAGATGATTGAACTACAACAGCTGCCACCCACAACCCAAGGCAGGGCCCAGGGCCAGCCCCAAGCAGTGACAGCCAGTGTGACTGGACAATGTGAGCAGGGAGGGGCTTGGAAAGAGGACACGGGAGCAGCAGGCAGAGAAGGCCCCGGGGAGCAGGTCATGGGGGCTTCAGAGGCCACCGTGAGCCTTGGGCTGTGCTCAAAGTGAGGTGGGAGGACTCTAGAGGAGGGGGGACTGGAACAAAGGAGTCCCCGTCTCCCTGTGCTGGGAAAGGATCCGGGGCTGGCACGTGGAGGAGGCCCAATGGAAGCAGAGAGACCTGTTAGGAAGCGGCTGCCGTCACCCAGGGAGCATGACGCGGGCCTGCACCATGGTGGCTGCGGAGGTGGCCCAAGCAGTGCAGTTGGGATGTAAGCTGAGCACGGCCCGCGGGCCTCCTTGAGCATGGGAGACCCACTGAGGCTGATGCACGGGCTGTGGCTGGAGCAGCTGGTAAATGGAGCTGCCTCTCCCAGCCCGGGGAAGACGTGCGATGCCTGCTGGGGTGAGAATGTCCCCTCCAAAATGCACGTGGAACGTGGTTGCCACTGCAGTGGAAGGAAGAGGCGGGACCCAGAAGAGGTGATCTGGAGCCTTGTGAATGGATGCAAAAGAGAGATTAGGGCTCAGCCCAATTTTTCTGTCTTCCCTGTGCTTTCTTCCCCGGCCATGTTATGACGCAGTACAGAGGCCTTCCCAGAGGCCGCGCCAGGTTCTTAGACTTCCCAGCCTCCAGAAGCACGAGCCGAAGAAGCTTCTGTTGTCTCTAACTTAGCCAGTCTTGGCATCCGTGAGAGCAGCGGAAACAGCTCTTGAGGGGACCGTTGCACAGGGACCCTGCGGGGCAGGAGAGGCTGGGGATGGCCGTGGAAAGGAGCAGCCAGAGAGGGCGGAGGACCCAGGGCACCTTGGGAGTCATCTGAAGTCCATGTTTGAAAGAGGAGGGAGAGGACAACCCTGCCAGATGCCGGTGGGGGCACAAATGCAAGCAGGTTGAGAGTTGACCATCAGACTGGGCCACCCAGAGGTCACAGGTGACCTTGACGGAGCTGCTTTGATGGCATGTCGGAGACAAGCCTGGTAAGAGACGGGCCAGAGAGCACGTCAGACTCCTCCCCCACACCTTCCGAGGTGATTTCAAAGGCTGACCGTGTCCCCACGCCTCCCTCTGCCCGCTGCTCCAGGCGCGCTCAGGAATTCAGCTCGTCACACAGGAAGTGGACCGAGGGCTCCATCCCACGGACATGCACACTCCACCCACAGCAGTCTGACTCCGGTTTTCATCTCTTCATCTAGAAAGATGCCACCTTGGTCCCCCTAAACCCTCCCAGGGGACAGGGGCACACGGCGCTGAATGGAAAAGACAGGAGCATGTTTACCAGGTTGTCCCATCAGAGACGGAAGGTGCCCACCACGGTCACAGCCCCACTTTGAAGGAGTCTGGCTGCAGTGGTCTGTCAAGGTGAGAGGTTCAGAAATGGTTTATTGGTAGGAAAAAGCAGGGTGGGGCTCGAGGTGGAGCCGGCTGTGGGGACGGGTGGACGTCCAGGTGAGGCACCAGCAAGACTTGACAGTCTGCACCAAAGAAGCGGAATGTCCTCCCTGGATCAGGCTGAGAGACTCCAAACCGAGCGCCTACCCTAAGCCCCGGGTTCCTCAGCCTCAAATGAGGGAGCCACAGAGGAGCCAGCTGGAGCTGCAGGTCTAGAGACCCGGCACCCGCCCCCACCCCTGCACCCCAACTCTGGGGCCTCCTCCCTCCCCCCTAGGAGGCCAGGGCTGCAGACACCATTGCCCCCAGCTCTGGTCGAGAGAGAGGGGAGCTGAATATTCAGTATCTGGGGAAACAATAAAAGTCCCAGGAAGAACCTGGCTAAGGCAATTACCTCTGCATAAATGCATATATTATTCATCCGTGGCTTTGAATATATAAATAATACTGATACAATTTGCATGCGTTAAAAGGAGATGTAATTACCCACTGATGCCTGTGAGTGCCTGGTACCCACCGGCCACGTTGCAGGCCTGCTGCTGCCCCCGGTAGCCCACCTTTGCCCTTTCTGGAGACAGAATATATCACACATGGGTTTTCTGCAGCAGCAGGGGGGCCGGCTCTGAGGTCCTGGGGCTTGTTGGACCTTGCTTCCTGTGGGCTGCTTTGGCTACCCGACTCTGTTCTAAAAACTTTGGGCTATTTTAATATGATTATTATATTTGTTACTTTTAAAACCACGTTGTTTGGGGCTACAATCATAATGCGTGTTCATTGTATGTAATTTGGAAAATACATAAGTTTGAAAACGAAAAAAGAAAATCCATTCATTATTCTGCTGCCCCAATACAACCACATTTCATATTGTCTTATTTCCTGCCAGTCTTATTTTTTTTTTTAGAAACTTAGGATTATATGATACATAATGTTTTGTAACCTGCTTTTATCTTTTACAATGTGTCATGAACAGATGAAGAAATATAAAAGGCTAATAAATATGAAAAGATGCTCACCCTCACTAGTAATTAAGGAAAATACAAATTATAATAACAGTCAGACATAAATTTTCACCTATCGCATTGTTAAGGATTTAAAATAATGATAATACGCACTGCTGGTGTAAGCGGGTAGAAACAGGCTCTTCTAAACAATCATCACTGGAAGAAGTGAAAATTGGAATACTTTTTTTGAAAGGTAACTTAGCAATATGTATCAGAAGGCTTAAAAAAAGCGTGCCTTTGGCCTCCGAAAATCCACTCCTTAGAATTCAAATAATCACACAGAGAGAAGAAGACGTATTATAACAAGGTGAATCGTACTGTTTTATTATAACAAAAAATCAGAAACAACTTTAATAGTTCCAGGTTGGGAATTCGTATAATAAATTATGATCTCTCAACATAGGAGAATCTCATGCAGCCAGTTACAGTGGACACACACAAGGGTACACACACACACATTCACACACACACACACTCACACACTCGCACACACTCTTCACCCTGTTCAAAGAAGGGTAAAAAAGTGTTTCCAAAATACAATGCTGGGACTTCTGGCTAAATATAGAGGCTTGAAAGAAATGTTTTTATTTCTGCTTCCTCTTGAAGCTCCACTAAAATAAAAGGAATAAAAATGACAGAAACCTTCAAAGTGAGTGTGGGAGAGAAGAGAGATCAGTCCTGTTTGGGGGAAATGAGGATGAGGAGGTAGAAAAGCCGGAAACAGTGAACTTCATGGGCTACCAAAAGGGATCGACAAGGAGCTCCCCAGATCACAGTCAGCACCCCAGAAAGGAGCAGGAACGGGGGGCACCAGCTGTGAAGGACCATGGGGTCGGGATGGGGTTGAGCAGGAGAGGGTTAGTCAGCCACTCAGCAGACATCCAGTGTCCGCGGGTTCTAGATTCCTGGCTTCAGGGAGCTCCCACAGAGGAGGTTAGGGGTGATGAGAGGAAGGAAGGAGGGAAATCGGAGGGAGCATTGCATGGGGGGGTGCAAGGGGGGACATCAGTGAGACAAGGTCTGGGGCAGAGAGTTGGCAGTGAACCTGAAGGGCCATTTCAGTGGATGGTCCAGGTGCAGGCCAGATGGGAACAGGGTAAGGAGAGAACGAGAGGAGAGGACTGGAACAAGAGCACAGACCAGCCCTGGCCAATACCAACAGAATGCGAGCTCCATATGTAAAGAGTAGCCATTTTAAAATAAAAATAAACTGGCGAGATTGATTTTTTTATTTAACCCAATATGTACACAATATGATCATTTCTAATACAATCGATAAAATTACCAGTGAGATACGTTGTGTTCTTTTCCATCCTAAGTCTTTGAAATCTGGAGTGTCTTTTACCTTTACAACACATCTTGCTTTGGCTAGCCCCATTGCAGGTGCTCAGTGGCCAAGGACAGCAAGTGACTGCCCTATGGACAGGAGAACATTCTTTCAATGAGTTTTGCTGTAAGTAAAAGGGGGTGGGGGGTTTGAGATCAGAAGTTGGAGAGGGAGTGGGAATGAATTTTTTATTTTTAAGAGAAAATAGATGGATGCTTGTCTGTTGATGGTTTGGTTGAGCCTGTAGAAGGAGCCATTAGGTCTCCCACCCTCCACTGGCCTGCTTTGCTAACTCATGCAGCAACTGTCTCTTCCCTGCCAGCAAAACACTGTGTGAGTGTGTGGGTGAGTGTGTGTGTGCGCGCGCGCGCGTGCGTATACACACATTTTTTTCCCTATGAACAAACCAGAATGGCTCAGACCCAGGGACCCTCAACCACAAGTAGGTGAGAGGGGTCCTATGCTGAAAACAGGGAGAGTGGACCAAAGCCTGCATCCTGAACGGCGAGCCCCCTTGCCCATCCTGCCCCCTCTGTTACTTGCCTCCAAAAGCACCGATAGCCTGGAGGATTTTTGTTTTGTTTTGTTTGAGAAGATAAGGAAAACACATACAGATACCACATCTGGAGATGGCCACACCCCCACCTGGTTAACACCCAAGTGGTGACAAGTTCTGCCCATGCACACCGCCCCACTCTTAAAAAAAAGGAAAGAAAATACGAAGCTCACCAAACACCATCTTCTAGTTAACACCAGAAGGTGGAAGAGTCCATGTGAGACAGAGAGGCCTAAACCTCTGCAGGCATCAGAGGAAGCAGAGACAGTGAGACAGCAGACTGTAAACCACAACCACTTTAAACACCAAGAGAGAGATGGGAGAAAACGTTGCAGCCATGAGCTGTCGGCTGCATAGGAGGAAAAAGGAAAAGGGAGAGTTCTGTTTCCTGCTTGGAACTTAAAATATGGAAATGGAAATATAAAAATGAAATGGAAGTATTCAAAGATAAAATCAAAGAAATTTCCCAGTTAGTTGATCTTCTCCCCAAAGAGGCAGAGATGAAAAAAGAGAATAAAAAAGATTCTAGTTTTTTTTTTTTAATTCTACTTTTTTTTTTCAGTTTAGATGGACACAATACTTTATTTATTTTTGGGTACCAGGGATTGAACTCAGGGGCACTTGACCACTGAGCCACATCCCCAGCCCTATTTTGTATTTTATTTAGAGACAGGGTCTCACTGAGTTGCTTAGCGCCTCGCTGTTGCTGCGGCTGGCTTTGAACTAGAGATCCTCCTGCCTCAGCCCCCCGAGCCGCTGGGATGACAGGCGTGCGCCACTGTGCCCAGCTAGTACAACTGACAGTAGGATTGCTGTATGTATACACATGGATGTGTGACCAATGTGATCCTGCAATCTGTTCATGTAGAAAAATGAGAATTCATGCCCTATTTGAATCAAATTATGATGTCAAGACTATTGTATTGTCTTGAACAACTAATAAAAAAAAGATTTTAGAAGTAGAAAACCATTGAGGAAATTCAATATGAGTTCCAAAAGAGACTAGAGAGAGCAGGTAGGGAGGAAATCACCAGAAATACTCGCCAAGAAGCTGCTGGAGATGGAGAAGATGTGCTCCAGATGGAAAGGCCCATGGAGGTCTAGATGGTAAGTGAGAAATCCCCCCGTAGCCCCACCACCGTGACACTTCAGAACACGAGACTCAGAAAGCCAATTCAGAACCTTCCATAGAGGGCAGGGAGCAGCCCCACATGGGACGACTGCAGAGTTCTCAAGAGCAACAGTGGGACCAGAAGACACCGGAACACTGTCACAATGGAACACAGTCCTCAGGGAGCCATTTTTAACTTGGAGCTCTGTTTGCAGAACAGTTGTAAGAGGTATATAGAATATTCAGGAAAGTTGAGTCTCAAAAATGTTCCTCCCAGCCACCATTTTCAGGGAGTTATTAAGGGATGGATCCCATAAGATAGAGGGAACGGAGAAGGAAAGGAAGCCTCAGTGTCAAGGGAACAAGAGACCCAGCACAAGAGACCAGCGGCAGAGCAGGATCAGAGAATAGGGAGTCAGCACAAAGAACTGGCAGAATACCTGGTGTGGTCAACCATGTGGAAAAGAGTATTTGAAAGGCCTCAGAATTCTTTTGAATAGTGAGAATGACACAAAAATCTAAGTGAACGTGGAATATTACTCAGCCATAAAGAAGAAGGAAATTATGGCATTTGCCAGTAAATGGATAGAGGTGGAGAATATCATGCTAAGTGAAATAAGCCAGTCCCCAAAAACCAAAGGCAGAATGTTCTGTCTGATATATGGATGCTAACCCACAACAAAGGAGAGGAAGATTACACATTCACTGGGCTAGCTAGACAAGGGGGAATGAAGGGAAGGGAGGGTAATGGGAATAGAAAATCCCGTAGAATGACTCAGACGTACCTTTTCTATCCTTATATATGAATACAGGACCAGAGTAACTCCACATCAAATACAACCACAACAATCGGATCCTAATTGGAACAACTTATACTTATTCTATGTATGGATAGTATGTCAAAATACACCCTACTGTCAGGTATATCTAAAAAGAACAAATTTAAAAAATATCTAAGTGAACACAAAACCCTGAAGTTATCAACTCCAAGTTGCAGAGGACAGGCAATTCTAGTGTAGCCCACTACCTGGCTCTGTGGTGACGGTATACAGTGATGACTAGCCTCCAAGCAGGGACCCTTGCTGACCCCACAAGTTGACAAGATGCTGGCTGGTCTGACCTCTCACCTGCAGCATGGTGACCTAGTGAGTGAGTGTTGTTTTAAGCCTCCAAATTTGTGGTGGTTTGTTTCTCAGTAATAGAAAATCAGTTTAGAACGATATGCTTCCGTATGATTCAGGAGTTTTCAGGCCATCTGGGTTCACTTGTGTGTTTCTGGCCAGCGGCAGGCCGGGCAGCACTCTGCTGATCTGGGCCGGGCTCTCTCCTGTGTTTGGAGGTCAGCTGATGGGAGGCTGATCTGGGACAGCTGGGCTCTGCCCGTGGGGTCCCCTGCCTGCAGCAGGCAGCCTTTGTCTGTTCCCAGGACAGCAGGTCAGGGTCCTGAGAGGGAGTGGGAGCTGCTAGGCCTCTTTTGCAACCGCCACGCTATTGCATTTGCTGGACTCTGTGGTCACAGCAAGTCAAAAGGCCAGCCCAGACTCAAGGGGTAGGAAACAGACGTGACCTCTACAAAGTCACATCAAAATGGGAACAGAGGGAGTGTGGAAAAACAGGGCCGTGCCTCCCTTCCTCTCCATCCCTACAAGGCTCCCAAGGTGAACCTCACGTCATCCCTCTCATCCTCCCTCGGCCCCTCCCTGCTACGCCATCTGATGGCAGCTCCCCTGTGGTCTGCATTTCTCAGCGATGGTAGCTCCTGG